ACGAGCACAGATACAAGTCCATTATCTGAGGCCATGAGAATATCATTAGTGACTTTCACCAGAGCTGTTTCAGTGCTATGATGAGCTCTAAAGCCAGACTGAAACTCTTCAAAAGGTTCATTATGGTGGAAGTGATCGCACACTTGTTTGGCAACTACTTTCTCAAGAATTTTGGATAAGAAAGGAAGATTGGATATAGGTCTATAATTGACCAAGTCATCTGGGTCAAGAGACGGTTTCTTAAGCAGAGGTTTAATTACAGCAATCTTAAAAGCTTTAGGTACATATCCCTGTAACAGAGATAGATTAATCACATCTAAAATGGAGGAGGAGATCAAAGGGAATACCTCCTTAAATAACCTGGTTGGAACTGGATCTAACATACAAGTTGAAGGCTTAGATGAAGACAATAATTTTGCTAATTCAGAGAGTTCAACTGGATCAAAGCAGTCTAAACCCGGTTCAGATTCCATGACTACCTCAGGTACAATTGCGGATAGAGGAGTGCTTATGATCTTATTTTTAATAAGATCAATCTTATTTATAAAGAATCCCATAAAATCATTGCTGCTAAGAGCAGGTGGAATGGACGGTTCAACAGAGCTATGGCTCTGGGTGAGTTTGGCAACTGTATTAAAAAGAAATCTAGGATTATTCTTATTCTCCTCTATTAATGAGGAGAAGTATGCTGCTCTTGCTTTACAAAGGGTCCTCTTATACAGCAGTAAACCATTTTTCCAGACTAGGAAGGACTCTCGCAGGCCTGTGGAGCGATATTTTCCCTCCAGTTTCCTAGCATTTTGCTTCAAAGTACGCAGCTCTGCATTAAACCAAGGAGCAAGCTTTCTATTTTTAACGGTTTTCATTTTCAAAGGAGCTGCGTTGTCTAAGGCAATACGCAGAGAACTAGCAACCCCCTCAACAAAATCATCAACCTGTGAAGGGGAATAAGCTATGCTTTTGCACTCTGCAGCACTGCTCAGTGACACAGAGCAGAGAGAAAGTGAAGCAGATTCTTTAAAATTTATAACTGCACTATCTGATAAAGATCTACTAAAATTGAACCTTCTTTTGGGGGAGGAGAACTCTGTTAAAGTAATCCTGAAGGTTATTAGAAAGTGGTCAGAGAGGACAGGGTTGTGAGGAAATACTGTTATTTCTTCACATTCTATGTCGTATGTCAGCACAAGATCCAAAGTATGAAGATGAGAATGCGTGGGACTATTCACATTTTGAACAAAGCCAATAGTGTCTAAGATAGCATTAAAGGCTGCTCTTAAGCTATCGCCTTCAATGTCAGCATGGATGTTAAAATCTCCCACTATGATGACCCTGTCAGGTCCTGCTCCGTCCCAGTCAGGTCCTGCTCCGTCTCAGTCAGTTCCTGCTCCGTCTCAGTCAGTTCCTGCTCCGTCCCAGTCAGTTCCTGCTCCGTCCCAGTCAGTTCCTGCTCCGTCTCAGTCAGTTCCTGCTCCGTCCCAGTCAGTTCCTGCTCCGTCTCAGTCAGTTCCTGCTCCGTCTCAGTCAGTTCCTGCTCCGTCCCAGTCAGTTCCTGCTCCGTCCCAGTCAGTTCCTGCTCCGTCCCAGTCAGGTCCTGCTCCGTCCCAGTCAGGTCCTGCTCCGTCCCAGTCAGTTCCTGCTCCGTCCCAGTCAGGTCCTGCTCCGTCTCAGTCAGTTCCTGCTCCGTCCCAGTCAGGTCCTGCTCCGTCCCAGTCAGTTCCTGCTCCGTCTCAGTCAGGTCCTGCTCAGTCCCAGTCAGTTCCTGCTCCGTCCCTGTCAGGTCCTGCTCCGTCCCAGTCAGGTCCTGCTCCGTCCCGGTCAGTTCCTGCTCCGTCCCGGTCAGTTCCTGCTCCGTCCTAGTCAGTTCCTGCTCCGTCCCAGTCAGTTCCTGCTCCGTCCTAGTCAGTTCCTGCTCCGTCCCAGTCAGGTCCTGCTCCGTCCCAGTCAGGTCCTGCTCCGTCCCAGTCAGTTCCTGCTCCGTCCCAGTCAGTTCCTGCTCCGTCCCAGTCAGTTCCTGCTCCGTCCCAGTCAGTTCCTGCTCCGTCCTAGTCAGTTCCTGCTCCGTTCCAGTCAGGTCCTGCTCCGTCCCAGTCAGGTCCTGCTCCGTCACAGTCAGTTCCTGCTCCGTCCCAGTCAGTTCCTGCTCCGTCCCAGTCAGGTCCTGCTCCGTCCCGGTCAGTTCCTGCTCCGTCCCGGTCAGTTCCTGCTCCGTCCTAGTCAGTTCCTGCTCCGTCCCAGTCAGGTCCTGCTCCGTCCCAGTCAGTTCCTGCTCCGTCCCAGTCAGGTCCTGCTCCGTCCCAGTCAGTTCCTACTCCGTCCCAGTCAGTTCCTGCTCCGTCCCAGTCAGTTCCTGCTCCGTCCCAGTCAGGTCCTGCTCCGTCCCAGTCAGTTCCTGCTCCGTCCCAGTCAGTTCCTGCTCCGTTCTAGTCAGTTCCTGCTCCGTCCCAGTCAGTTCCTGCTCCGTCCCAGTCAGGTCCTGCTCCGTCCCAGTCAGGTCCTGCTCCGTCCCGGTCAGTTCCTGCTCCGTCCCGGTCAGTTCCTGCTCCGTCCTAGTCAGTTCCTGCTCCGTCCCAGTCAGTTCCTGCTCCGTCCTAGTCAGTTCCTGCTCCGTCCCAGTCAGGTCCTGCTCCGTCCCAGTCAGGTCCTGCTCCGTCCCAGTCAGTTCCTGCTCCGTCCCAGTCAGTTCCTGCTCCGTCCCAGTCAGTTCCTGCTCCGTCCCAGTCAGTTCCTGCTCCGTCCTAGTCAGTTCCTGCTCCGTCCCAGTCAGGTCCTGCTCCGTCCCAGTCAGGTCCTGCTCCGTCACAGTCAGTTCCTGCTCCGTCCCAGTCAGGTCCTGCTCCGTCCCGGTCAGTTCCTGCTCCGTCCCGGTCAGTTCCTGCTCCGTCCTAGTCAGTTCCTGCTCCGTCCCAGTCAGGTCCTGCTCCGTCCCAGTCAGTTCCTGCTCCGTCCCAGTCAGGTCCTGCTCCGTCCCAGTCAGTTCCTGCTCCGTCCCAGTCAGTTCCTGCTCCGTCCCAGTCAGTTCCTGCTCCGTCCCAGTCAGGTCCTGCTCCGTCCCAGTCAGTTCCTGCTCCGTCCCAGTCAGTTCCTGCTCCGTTCTAGTCAGTTCCTGCTCCGTCCTAGTCAGGTCCTGCTCCGTCCCAGTCAGGTCCTGCTCCGTCCCAGTCAGTTCCTGCTCCGTCCCAGTCAGTTCCTGCTCCGTTCTAGTCAGTTCCTGCTCCATCCCAGTCAGTTCCTGCTCCGTCCCAGTCAGGTCCTGCTCCGTCCCAGTCAGTTCCTGCTCCGTCCCAGTCAGTTCCTGCTCCGTCCCAGTCAGGTCCTGCTCCGTCCCAGTCAGGTCCTGCTCCGTCCCAGTCAGTTCCTGCTCCGTCCCAGTCAGTTCCTGCTCCGTCCCAGTCAGTTCCTGCTCCGTCCCAGTCAGTTCCTGCTCCGTCCTAGTCAGTTCCTGCTCCGTCCCAGTCAGGTCCTGCTCCGTCCCAGTCAGGTCCTGCTCCGTCACAGTCAGTTCCTGCTCCGTCCCAGTCAGGTCCTGCTCCGTCCCGGTCAGTTCCTGCTCCGTCCCGGTCAGTTCCTGCTCCGTCCTAGTCAGTTCCTGCTCCGTCCCAGTCAGGTCCTGCTCCGTCCCAGTCAGTTCCTGCTCCGTCCCAGTCAGGTCCTGCTCCGTCCCAGTCAGTTCCTGCTCCGTCCCAGTCAGTTCCTGCTCCGTCCCAGTCAGTTCCTGCTCCGTCCCAGTCAGGTCCTGCTCCGTCCCAGTCAGTTCCTGCTCCGTCCCAGTCAGTTCCTGCTCCGTTCTAGTCAGTTCCTGCTCCGTCCTAGTCAGGTCCTGCTCCGTCCCAGTCAGGTCCTGCTCCGTCCCAGTCAGTTCCTGCTCCGTCCCAGTCAGTTCCTGCTCCGTTCTAGTCAGTTCCTGCTCCATCCCAGTCAGTTCCTGCTCCGTCCCAGTCAGGTCCTGCTCCGTCCCAGTCAGTTCCTGCTCCGTCCCAGTCAGGTCCTGCTCCGTCCCAGTCAGTTCCTGCTCCGTCCCAGTCAGTTCCTGCTCCGTCTCAGTCAGTTCCTGCTCCGTCCCAGTCAGTTCCTGCTCCGTCCCAGTCAGGTCCTGCTCCGTCCCAGTCAGTTCCTGCTCCGTCCCAGTCAGTTCCTGCTCCGTCCCAGTCAGTTCCTGCTCCATCCCAGTCAGTTCCTGCTCCGTCCCAGTCAGGTCCTGCTCCGTCACAGTCAGTTCCTGCTCCGTCCCAGTCAGGTCCTGCTCCGTCCCGGTCAGTTCCTGCTCCGTCCCAGTCAGTTCCTGCTCCGTCCCAGTCAGGTCCTGCTCCGTCCCGGTCAGTTCCTGCTCCGTCCCAGTCAGTTCCTGCTCCGTCTGGTTCCGATCAAGGCGCCGTTCTGTGGTGAACTTCTCCAGCATCAACACCAGCAGTCTAAAGCTTCGCTTGGTTTTTGGCCTCAAACTAAACACATTTCAATGATTTTCTCATCAACATCATCTGCTGTGAGCATTGATTCCAGATCTTCCTGGAAACCAAAGAATCTCAGTTCCTTTGTCTCAGACCATCCATGATGGAGGTGAAGATGGGAACTGGTCAGTGAGGCTAAAGGGTGTCTGCCCTGGTCTGAGCCCAGACCACTGAGAAGGACCTTAAACTGCTGAGAAGGCAGAGATAGAGCGTCTGTCCCCATCTGTCAGCTGATGGACGTCCAGCTGAAGTCCTCCATGTTGGTTTGGCAGCAGGTCTGCTGCAGGTTGGACCTCATCCAGCTGCTAACTGCAGCACCTGCTGGATGTGAACCAGAACCTAGAACCAGCCGTTCTACCTGCTCAATAATCTCTGATCAGAGCGTTAGCAGGGTTAGCATGGCTACGTCAGATCATCACTTCCTGTCTGACTCTGGGGGAAGGTTCTGGAAGGACCGCTTCACGGCCACCAGCTGGACCAAATGTTCTGCTTCTGTTCCTGATTCCTCTGCTGTGTGAGGGATCAGAGCTACGGTCACCTTCCACCTCCAACCAGGATCCTGACCTCTGACCTCTCCGTGCCTCACTAATGGCCGTCGGTTCAAAGTGATGAAAACCTGACATGCTAACCTGACATGCTAACCTTCAGTCACACAAACATCTGGACAATAAAACGCTGCCTGGGTTGGATAACCGCTGGGTTACCGTTAGCGATGGCACAGAAGAGGCTAACCAAGAGTTCAACTCAGCGCTTTAAAGAGGGCAGCGTAGCATCAGGAGCAGCAAAGTCACTGAATAACCGATCCGCTCATAAAATTAAACATTTTAAAAGCATAAATTAATAAGCAGAGTTTTAAAGGAATCTCTGTTCAGAAACAAAGAAAAATTCGTCCAGATTCCTTAAAAATTGGTGAAATAGCCCTTTATTTTGGCAGCAACAGGAAGTTCAGAAGCAGACGTCAACCTTAGCATCATTAGCTGCTAATGGGCTGCTAGCTTAGCTTAACCAAACCATAATGAAAAGTCTGGGACAGATTCAGGGCTGATTAATGAAAGGCGCATCATGGCGGCAGCTGTTTGCCTGCAGCAGATTCATTTACTCTGAAAATAAACGTTTCAGGCTGATGAGAATGAAAGCGCTAAACAAAGATGCTACGCTAAAGCTGCTTTCTGAGGCTGTGAGAATAAGAGTTCAAACAGGCCCAGCCTCCTCACACTTTATGCTTTGTTGCCTAGCAACCGTGACAGTAGACATGCAGAGCGGGCGAAGAATGGATGCTGAACGTCTCCCTGCTGTTCTGGGCAATAATAACGTTTCTAAGGAGCTTCAGCAGCAGTACGCTCGTCTCAGATATCAGATTTATAATCCCCGCCCTGCAGAGATGTTAGAATCTGAGCTTAATGTCAGCCAAACTCATTTAGACAGGGACAGATAAAACCTTTCAATAAACCAAACATTACATTAACAACTATTTTCATTTCAGACGGAAATATTCACAGACTGGATTATATTAAACTGCACTTCCAATATTCACCACTGTTCGGCGCCATTTCCCCCTTTTCCTCTGATCACGGAGCAGCCGACTTGTTTGGATTCGCAATGAATCCTGGGATACCTGAGGCTACGGAGGATACAGCGGACCCGTCCTTCAAAACGGGGGAAAGGAAGTCAGTGGACCGCTTAACGAGCAGCCAATCAGAACAGGCCTCTGCGCAGCGCCATGATGGAATCAGACAAAGAACGAAGACAGTGACTGGATGCAATCAGCTGCTTTAGCTTGACAGACACTTTGAACCAATCGGATGATCCGACTGGATGGTTTCTAAGAAACCCTGAGATGAGCTGAATCTGCAGAAATGAAATGAACGCGTCTGAACAGGTCATCTGCACTGGATGGAGGTTATTTCAGCTTCCATGGCAGCAGATCTTCATGGCCGTCATGGCAGCCTGGTTAATCTGTGTGAGCTGACTGCAGAGGCCCATCCTGCCCGGCTGCACAGGACAGCGAAGGACTTCCCTACGTCTGCCACTTCAACAGGTAGATGTTTGTTATATAGAAGTTACCGAATGTAATCCTGGTCCAAACACACGCTGCAGGGTGCAGCTTTAACCATCCGACGCTTTGAGGAGGGAGGAGATCCTGTCTAAAGGGACTATTAACTGTTTAAACCCTGACAAAGTTATTAGATTATAAGGTTCCTGATTTAGTCCAGAGATTCCTTCAGTCTGGACCCTGAGAGGAGCAGCAGGTGGGGCCGGCCGCCGCACCTGCAGCTCCCAGAGGACAGCGGAGCTCACAGGGAGTCCAGCGCTACAGGCTAGCATGTAGACCCTGCAGGGATCAGTGAGGCTTCTTGGTGGACCCGCCGCGCTGCGCCACGCTGCGCCGCGCGGTGTGCCGCCAGCAGCATGGCTGACAGGAGGAGCTGCAAACAGCAGGCTGAGCAGAGCTAACCTTTAACCCGGATCTAAGGTTGATTAAACCAAGCTCTGCCTCACAGGCTGAGGAACGTCTGCAGGGAAACATCGGGGGTAGAGGAACAGCGGCGTTCACACAGGGCTCCTGTTTCTGCTGTGATGAAGGAGCCTGGAGGCGCAAAACAGGTTCATAAACGTTCAACCATGAGTCTGCAGGTGGATCCATGAGAGCAAAGCTGCTTCAGAAACAGCCAGCAGCGTCTGATTGCTGGGAACCCAGAAGCAGCAGCAGTCTGGGTTTAATCCATCAGCAATAAAATAAATATTTCCTGATTTTAGCGTTATGGTGAAGCAGGACGCAGCCTGACGCCTCAGAGAGCAGAAAGCAATGAGCGGACGGCAGAGAGGACGGCGTGAAGCGTCTGGAAGGCCTGCTGCTCCACCTCTGCTGAACAGCAGAGCAGGAGGAGCTCATTCAGGACGCCACCTCAGCAGCACCACCACCGCAGGACGCAGGCAGAGCTGGAAATACCTGCTGCTGTAGAACCAAAACAAACAGACGTTCACCTCCAGAGATGATGACAAAACAGAAACAGAAACTGTTTGGTCTCTTTCTGCTCCCACAGATCATCATCCAGTGAAGGAAGCAGCCGTTAGCTCCTCTAAGGAGGAAAACAACAACGCTACAGCAGTGATGAGGGTCATGGTTTAGAGGAGGGTCTGAGCTCTGGATGGTCGTCTGGTTTAACCCTTTATGACGAGGAAGGACCTCAGTCCAGAGTTTAGTCTCCAAACCTTCCTTCTACCTATTCAGAGATAACCAGGAGGAAGAGGATGAAGCTGGACCACCAGGTGGGTGGAGCCTCAGGCTCCACTGGCCGCTGCCCACCATGTGACCTCGCTGGTCGGCCTCCTCAGCGACCCAAAGCCTTCAGCCAGAACCAAAGTGGACTGGTTCAGAACAAAGCCAGAACGGACCTGAATGATGTCACAGAAACTACACCAGCATCCAGTTCTGGTCCCAGCGACACATCAGCAGGTTCTGACTGTTAGACAGCAGAACATCAGCAGATAAACACTTCCAGCCCTGCGGTCCGGTTCTGGATCAGTATCCGTTCTGGAGGAGCAGATCTGCACACTGAGCAGCGGCTCAGACCGTCTGATGGGACCGGCCGTCCATCAGAGGGACACCGTTTACACGCAGCAGGACCAAGAGCGGTCCGGATCTTTGGGTTCTAGGATCCAGTTCTCCCTTCCTCAGAGCAGCAGCGTTCTTCGGGCCCAGGCCTAACGACGCTCTAAATGAAGCAGGGTCAGACCGGTTCTGACAGTTGAGGCACAGAAACCAGTTTGGGCATGCTTGAACACGTCTGATGCCTTCAGGCCTTCCTTTCCCGTTAGACAGCCGCTGCCTGAACAGCCTACCTGCAACAGCTTCCCACAGACAGGCTGGGAGGCCGCTACCGAGCCTTTAACGAGCTAGTACCAAGCCTTTAACAAGCTGGTAAAGAGCCTTTAACGAGCTAGTACCAAGCCTTTAACAAGCTGGTAAAGAGCCTTTAACGAGCTGGTACCAAGCCTTTAACAAGCTGGTAAAGAGCCTTTAACGAGCTGGTACCAAGCCTTTAACAAGCTGGTAAAGAGCCTTTAACGAGCTGGTACCAAGCCTTTAACAAGCTGGTACTGAGCCTTTAACGAGCTAGTACTGAGCCTTTAACAAGCTGGTACCGAGCCTTTAACGAGCTAGTACCAAGCCTTTAACGAGCTGGTAAAGAGCCTTTAACGAGCTGGTACCAAGCCTTTAACAAGCTGGTAAAGAGCCTTTAACGAGCTGGTACCAAGCCTTTAACAAGCTGGTAAAGAGCCTTTAACGAGCTGGTACCAAGCCTTTAACAAGCTGGTAAAGAGCCTTTAATGAGCTGGTACCAAGCCTTTAACAAGCTGGTAAAGAGCCTTTAACGAGCTGGTACCAAGCCTTTAACAAGCTGGTAAAGAGCCTTTAACGAGCTGGTACCGAGCATTTAACGAGCTAGTGTTGAGCCTTTAACGAGCTGGTACCAAGCCTTTAACAAGCTGGTAAAGAGCCTTTAACGAGCTGGTACCAAGCCTTTAACAAGCTGGTAAAGAGCCTTTAACGAGCTGGTACCAAGCCTTTAACAAGCTGGTAAAGAGCCTTTAACGAGCTGGTACCAAGCCTTTAACAAGCTGGTAAAGAGCCTTTAACGAGCTGGTACAGAGCATTTAACGAGCTAGTGCTGAGCCTTTAACAAGCTGGTACTGAGCCTTTAACGAGCTGGTACTGAGCCTTTAACGAGCTGGTACCGAGCCTTTAACGAGCTGGTACCAAGCCTTTAACAAGCTGGTAAAGAGCCTTTAACGAGCTGGTACCGCGCCTTTAACGAGCTAGTACTGAGCCTTTAACAAGCTGGTACTGAGCCTTTAACGAGCTGGTACTGAGCCTTTAATGAGCTGGTACTGAGCCTTTAACGAGCTGGTACCGAGCCTTTAACGAGCTGGTACCAAGCCTTTAACAAGCTGGTAAAGAGCCTTTAACGAGCTGGTACCGAGCCTTTAACGAGCTGGTACTGAGACTTTAACAAGCTGGTACCAAGCCTTTAACAAGCTGGTACCAAGCCTTTAACAAGCTGGTAAAGAGCCTTTAACGAGCTGGTACCGAGCCTTTAACGAGCTGGTACCGAGCCTTTAACAAGCTGGTACCGAGCCTTTAACGAGCTGGTACCGAGCCTTTAACAAGCTGGTACCAAGCCTTTAACAAGCTGGTACTGAGCCTTTAGCAAGCTGGTAAAGAGCCTGAAACTGCGGTCCGGTTTAGGTCTGCATGCCACTAACACTCAACAGTTACCATGGTTACCGTGCTGGGATGATCTCAGCACGGTTTCTAAAGGGTGGAAATGGGACTAATAACCTGTCAGTCCCCACAGGATGCCTGATTCTTGATTGATGACCGTCGTTAAAATAAACCATCTGAGGATGTTTAATCTCAGAATGTCAGATGATCCTTAAATTATGACAAAATAAATGTAAACATCTGATCCAGAAGTCAGGTTCTCAGACTCACCCTGCCCTGATCCTGATCCGTCTGCACTTTTCAGAACAGGAGCTCAACCAGCAGGAGGAAACAGTTTTAGATCCATTCAGGTTCCACAGCAAAGGAACTAATGGTTTGGTATGGTGGAGAGTCTGTGATGCTGTGGGCCCCAGTGGCTTTGCCTTAGTGTGGGGCAGGACTCCCAGAGTAACCCCAGATCAGCAGCCGCCATCCTCCATGGTGCCACGGTTCTCTGAGCAGAACCTTTTGTACCAGTTAACTGCAGCAGGAGCAGCAGGAGGAGAAGCAGCTCCAGGAGCAGCAGCAGCAGGAGCAGCAGGAGCAGCAGGAGCAACAGCAGCTGCCAAGCCTCCTCTCTGCTCCTGGTTCTGGTTCCATGATGCCTTAAACCCTGCATCAAGCTGCCAACTGTCAACGTAATGCTGCAGCGTCTGGAAGACGTCTGGAAGACGTCTGGAAGACGTCTGGAAGAGCCCAGCTCTTCAGCTGCTAACAAACTCAAATGCTGCGTTCACACCAAAAGCAGCAGAGGCAGCAGGAGCAGCTAGTCTCCATGCAAAGTCAATGGTTGATGCGCTTCAACGCGCAGCAAAACGTCCCGCAGCGCATTTTGAGCAGCAGCTGCAGGTCGTCTGAGCAGCTGAAGCAGCGTGTTGGAAACGTTTGAGCATCTGACGCTAGCGACGCACCGCAAACGCGGCTGCTGGAGTCGGAGAAATGTGAAGGTGCGTTCACATTTCTCCAACTCCACACACGCATTTAGCAGCAGGAGCAGCAGGAGCAGCAGAAACGTGTGTGCTGCTTCATTTCTGATTTTTGAACTGACTGCACAGACCATGTTTTCAGGAGGACTTTCTCTCTTCAACATAGATTCTAACTTCTTTCTACCCGCTGATCACAGCTAATATAGCCGCCATTGTTCCAGGCAGAGAAAGGATAGAGTAGCTCCGCCCACCGCGCAGCTAGAGCAGCAAAGATGCTTCAGCCGCGCGTCAGAACTAAACTGGTAAAAGCATCAGAAATGAAGCAGCGCCTTTTAGCTGCTCCTGCTGCTTTAGGTGTGAACGCAGCTTCAGGAGGTCCACCAGCAGAGGTCAGAGCTGGACAGTCTGCAGACCACCTGATCCACACCAGCTCAATGAGACAATTAGGAGCCCTGTCTGTCCATGTGGACACAGAGGAGGGACAGAGAGGAGGGACACAGAGGAGGGACAGAGGGACAGAGAGGAGGGACACAGAGGAGGGACACAGAGGAGGGACAGAGGGACAGAGAGGAGGGACAGAGAGGAGGGACACAGAGGAGAGACACAGAGGAGGGACAGAGAGGAGGGACAGAGAGGAGGGACACAGAGGAGGGACAGAGAGGAGGGACACAGAGACACAGAGGAGGGACAGAGAGGAGGGACAGAGAGGAGGGACACAGAGGAGGGACAGAGAGGAGAGACACAGAGGAGAGACACAGAGGAGGGACAGAGAGGAGGGACACAGAGAAGGGACAGAGAGGAGAGACACAGAGGAGGGACAGAGAGGAGAGACACAGAAGAGGGACAGAGTGGAGGGACAGAGAGGAGGGACAGAGGGGAGGGACACAGAGGAGAGACACAGAGGAGGGACAGAGAGGAGAGACAGAGTGGAGGGACAGAGAGGAGGGACAGAGAAGAGGGACAGAGAGGAGAGACACAGAAGAGGGACAGAGTGGAGGGACACAGAAGAGGGACAGAGTGGAGGGACAGAGAGGAGGGACAGAGTGGAGGGACAGAGAGGAGGGACAGAGAAGAGGGACAGAGTGGAGGGACAGAGAGGAGAGACACAGAAGAGGGACAGAGTGGAGGGACACAGAAGAGGGACAGAGTGGAGGGACAGAGAGGAGGGACAGAGTGGAGGGACAGAGAGGAGGGACACAGAGGAGAGACACAGAGGGACCAACTTACTTCCCGATGACCTCGCAGAGCTCATAAACATCTTCAAACAGAAAGTCTTCGTCCGCCATAGTCCCAGTCCAGCAGGGGACAGACACCACCCCCTCCGCCCCTCCCACTGCGGGGGTTCTGGTCCCCCCGCCCCCCCACCGGGTCTCAGGGAGCGAAGCGGTCCAACATTAGAAACTGTCCCGGACTGTAGCTCAGAGGAACCGGCTGAAGCGAAGCTGCCCGGGCTGGTTTCCTCCGCTCTGCTCCGCTGCTCCGCTGCTCAGCTCTCGGTGATCCTCTCCTTCTTCCCTCCTTCTGCTCCGGAGCTTCCAGAAACCCTCGCCCCGCCTACTCGGCGGTTATGAAACTGCTTCGCTGTCCGCCATCTTGGCTCCTCCCAGCGACCGCGGTCCTCCGTCCGGAGCTGTGGGGCTTTGAGCCAACATGGCGGAGGAATGGCGCCAAAAAGGTCTCCTTCAGAGCGCAGTTTCCCTCAGTCTGACCAACAGAGCCCACCTTCCCTCCACTGACAGTTTAGACACTCTACAAAGTAGCTGTCAAGTTTATAACATTAGGAGAGATTCATATAAAACACAATGAAGTGTTTAAAGTTGTGATTATAATGAACATAAAACACAATGAAGTGTTTAAAGTTGTGATTATAATGAACATAAAACACAATGAAGTGTTTAAAGTTGTGATTATAATGAACATAAAACACAATGAAGTGTTTAAAGTTGTGATTATAATGTTAAAATTAAATGACAACCTAAGAGAATCTAACCCAGATTTGATTTAGGAGCAGAAAGATCTCCTTTAGTTTGAACTTTTCCACCATTGATGTTTATAGATGGTTCCATTTACCAGCTGTGGTTAACCAGAGATGAATAACCAGGTGGGGTTAACCAGCAGTCCATATAAAGCCTTAAATGGCCAAGCTCCATCTGATATCAGAGATCTGATTGTTCCTTATGTTCCTAACAGAGCACTTCGCTCTCAATCTGCAGGTTTACTAGTGGTTCCTAGAATTTCTAAAAGTAGAATGGGAGGCAGATCTTTTAGTTATCAGGCTCCTCTCCTGTGGAACCAACTACCAGTTTTAGTCCGTGAGGCAGACACCCTGTCTACTTTTAAGGCTAGGCTTAAAAGTTTCCTTTTTGATAAAGCTTCTAGTTAGAGTGGCTCAGGTTATCCTGAGCTATCTCTATAGTTCTGCTGCTATAGGTTTAGACTGCTGGAGGACATAGGGACCCCTTTTTCATCATTCTGCTTCATTCTATCTCTATTCTCCCACTCTGCAGAATCTGTTAGTTCAATCTCTAACGTTCTGCTCTCTCTGCTTTTTCTCATAGTAGCTTCATCTGGTCTGTTCCTGTTTGGCTGTGACTCCATCCTGGAGAGAAATATCAGCTGTGCTGCTGCCATCAACACCTTTGTTTCTAGATGTTGGAGCTTGGCCTGTTTTCCAGTGTAGTCCTGTTTCTCTGACTGTGACTAACTGGATGTGCTCTCTTCATCCTCTGACATGGGAGCTGGCTCGGAGCTCGTCTGCCTGGCTGTGTGTTTCCTGGACGGGGCCGCCTGTGGAGCTGGTTGACAGTTGCCTTTTGTATCTATGCTTCTTTTTCTATGTCTGCTTCTGTCTCCTTGAACCCCAGTGGGCCTCAGCAGATGGCCGCTCACACTGAGCCTGGTTCTGCTGGAGGTTTCTTCCTCTCCACTGTCATCAGCAGTGATTAACCAGCAGCCATTAACCAATGGTCATTAACCAGTGGCCATAAACCAGCGGTCATTAACCAGCAGTGATTGAGCCAGTGGTAATTAACCAGTGGTCATTACCAGCTGTCATTAACCAGCAGCTATTAACCAGTAGTGATTAATCAGTGGTAATTAACCCGCAGTCATTAACCAGTGGTGATTAACCAGCTGTCATTAACCAGCAGTGATTAACCAGCAGCCATTAACCAGCGGCGATTAAGCAGCTGTCTTAACGAGCAGTGATTAACCAGTGGTAATAAACCAGTGGTCATTAACCAGTGGTGATTAACCAGCAGTGATTAACCAGGGGTCATTAACCAGTGGTGATCAACCAGCTGTGATTACCCAGCGGTCATTAAACAGCAGTCATTAACAAGCTGTGATGAACCAGCAGTCATTAACCAGCTGTTATTAACCAGCTGTCATTAACCAGCGGCGATTTACCAGTAGCCATTAACCTGTGGTGATTAACCAATGGTCTTTAACTAGTGGCCATAAACCAGCAGTGATTAACCAGTAGTGATTAACCAGTGGTGATTAACCAGCGGCCATTAACCAGCAGTGATTAACCAGCAGTAATTAACCAGCAGTGATTAAGCCAGTAGTGATTAACCAGCGGTCATTAACCAGCTGCCATTAACCAGCAGTCATTAACAAGCAGTGATTAACCAGCTGTGGTTAACCAGTGGTGATTAACTGGGGGTCATTACCAGCAATCATTAACCAGCAGTCATGAACCAACTGTCATTAACCAGCAGTCATTAATCAGCTGTGATGAACCAGCAGTCATTAACCAGCTGTTATTAACCAGCTGTCATTAACCAGTGGCCATTAACCACTAGTCATTAACCAGCGGGCATCAACCAGCTGTGATTAACCAGCTCTTATAACCAGCAGTGATTAATCAGCAGCCATTAACCTGTGGTGATTAACCAATGGTCATTAACCAGTGGCCATAAACCAGCAGTGATTAGCCAGTAGTGATTAACTAGTGGTGATTAACCAGCGGTCATTAACAAGCAGTGATTAACCAGTAGTGATTCACCAGTGGTGATTAACCAGCGGTCATTAACCAGTAGTGATTAACAAGCAGTGATTAAGCTTGTGGTGATTAACCAGCAGTCATTACCAGCTGTCATTAACCAGCAATGATTAACCAATGGTGAGGAACCAGTGGTATTTAATCAGCAGTGATTAGGCCGGTGGTGATTAACCAGCTGCCATTAACCAGCAGCCATTTCCCTGCAGTTATTAACCAGCTGTGTTTAAACAGTGGTGATTAACCGGCAGTCAGTACCAGCAATTATTAACCAGCAGTCATGAACCAACTGTAATGTACCAGCAGTCCTTAACCAGCTGTTATTAACCAGCTGTGATTAACCAGCTGTAATTAACCAGTGGCCATTAACATTCGGTGATTAACCAGCTATGATTAACCAGCTGTCATTAACAAGCTGTCATTAACCAGCGGTCATTAACCAGCAGTGATCTACCAGTAGTGAATAACCAGTGGTGATTAACCAGCAGTCCTTAACCAGCGGTGATTAACCAGTAGTGATTAACCAGCAGTAACTAACCAGCAGCCATTAACCAGCAGCCATTAGCCTGCAGTTATTAACCAGCTGTGGTTAAACAGTGGTAATTAACAGGCGGTCATTACCAGCAATCATTAACCAGCAGTCATTAACCAGCTGTGATGAACCAGCTGTCATTAACAAGCTGTCATTAACAAGCTGTCATTAACCAGTGACCATTAACCAGCTGTGATTAAGCAGCTATGATTAACCAGCTGTTTTTAAATGCTGTCATTAACCAGCGGTCATTAACCAGGGGTGATTAACCAGTAGTGATTCACCCGTGGTGATTAACCAGCGGTCATTAACCAGTAGTGATTCACCAGTGGTGATTAATCAGCGGTCATTAACCAGCGGTCATTAACCAGTAGTGATTAACTAGTAGTGATTAACCAGTGGTGATTAACCAGCGGTCATTAACCAGTAGTGATTAACTAGTAGTGATTAACCAGTAGTGATTCACCAGTGGTGATTAACCAGTGGTCATTAACCAATAGTGATTTACTAGTAGTGATTAACCAGTAGTGATTCACCAGTGGTGATTAACCAGCGGTCATTAAGCAGTAGTGATTAAGTAGTAGTGATTAACCAGCGGCCATTAACCAGCGGTTATTAACCAGTATTGATTAACCAGTGTTGATTAACCAGTGGTCATTAACCAGCGCTCATTAAGCAGCTGTCAGTAACCAGCGGCAATTAACCAGTGGTGATTAACCAGCGGTAACCAGCATTGATTAACACAGCGGTCATTAACCAGCGGTCATTAACCAGTAGTGATTAACTAGTAGTGATTAACTAGTAGTGACTAACCAGCAGTGACTAACCAGCAGTGATTAACCAGCGTTCATTAACCAGCAGTGATTAACCAGCAGTGATTAACCAGCGTTCATTAACCAGCAGTGATTAACCAGTGTTCATTAACCAGCAGTGACTAACCAGTAGTGATTAACCAGCAGTGATTAACCAGCAGTGATTAACCAGTGTTCATTAACCAGCAGTGATTAACCAGCAGTGACTAACCAGCAGTGATTAACCAGCAGTGATTAACCAGCAGTGACTAACCAGCAGTGATTAACCAGCGTTCATTAACCAGCAGTGATTAACCAGCAGTGATTAACCAGCAGTGACTAACCAGCAGTGATTAACCAGCGTTCATTAACCAGCAGTGATTAACCAGCAGTGACTAACCAGCAGTGATTAACCAGCAGTGATTAACCAGCAGTGACTAACCAGCAGTGATTAACCAGCGTTCATTAACCAGCAGTGATTAACCAGTAGTGATTAACTAGTAGTGATTAACCAGTAGTGACTAACCAGCAGTGATTAACTAGTAGTGATTAACCAGTAGTGACTAACCAGCAGTGACTAACCAGCAGTGATTAACCAGCGTTCATTAACCAGCAGTGATTAACCAGCAGTGACTAACCCGCAGTGATTAACTAGTAGTGATTAACCAGTAGTGACTAACCAGCAGTGACTAACCAGCAGTGATTAACCAGCGTCCATTAACCAGCAGTGATTAACCAGCAGTAACTAACCAGCAGTGACTAACCAGCAGTGATTAACCAGCGTTCATTAACCAGCAGTGATTAACCAGCAGTAACTAACCAGCAGTGACTAACCAGCAGTGATTAACCAGCGTTCATTAACCAGCAGTGATTAACCAGTAGTGACTAACCAGCAGTGATTAACCAGCGTTCATTAACCAGCAGTAACTAACCAGCAGTGACTAACCAGCAGTGATTAACCAGCGTTCATTAACCAGCAGTGATTAACCAGCAGTAACTAACCAGCAGTGATTAACCAGCAGTCACTAACCAGCAGTGACTAACCAGCAGTGACTAACCAGCAGTGATTAACCAGCGTTCATTAACCAGCAGTGATTAACCAGCAGTGACTAACCAGCAGTGATTAACCAGCGTTCATTAACCAGCAGTAACTAACCAGCAGTG